AAATTATACCTAATTAAAAAAACTAAGTCAATTAAATTATTTATTTACAAAGATAAAATAATGAAATTAATAAAAATAACATTTTTTGTGTTTTTGATTTTATGAGAAAAAAATTAATTGGTTAGTAATAATAATAATAATTAATTAAAAAAACAATAAAGCAAATAAATAAATATAATGAAAAGAAAATAAACCAAGGGGGTTTGGGCCCAAATTTGGGTGTTTGAATGGCAATTGTCTGGCCCATTTACGCTGGTCTGCTTTGACTTTTCCAATTCCCTATGCGTTTGCTGACTTGGACATATGATAGTCCTTCATTCCTGGCCATCAGATTTGGCCTGAAGGCCATCTGGCACCTGATGGGATGAGCAGTATGGTGGATCACGCTTGGGATGTCACATGCAATTGCCTGAAGAAAAATAAGACAAATATATTGGGGGACCTGGGATTCGAACCCAGGTCCCATAGGTCTTTCCACTAACGCCTCCACCAACTGAGTTGTGATGCTTTGTTATTAATAAAATAAACACTGATTATTATATATGAAAAACAATTAATATGCTGGAAAAATAAAAAAATATGGCGCGCTGTTTGAATTGGCCAATTGGGAGAGGACACCTGGTCGTCTTCTTCAACAAATCCCTGGTTTTCTTACCTGTGGATTTTTATCCGCAGCAAGATTCGTGGGATCATCCTAAAACGACTTCCAGGCCATATAAACGCAAGCTAAGACCATCATCGTGTTCGTCTCTCTTCCCTGAACACAACCATGGCCATTATTTGTCTTGATTTTGCCTGTATCAAAAATGCCTAAAAACAAGGAATGGAAACCCTAGGTTCGGGTGTTACGTTACGGGCCATGAAAACAAAATCAAATAATGTAGAAATGTTGGAAATTGGACGTTAAGCATGATTGTACAGAAAAATTGGCAAAAAGATGCAAGAACATGGATTCACGATTTCATGTACAGGGCTATGTTCAAGAACACTTACAGCACTTTTCAGGTGGTTTCAGGACTTGATTTTGATTGTAATCGCTTCAGTGGACGTCAGGCAAGGAGATGGTGTTGAGTTTTTTGATTGAATTCGCCTCCAACCAAGATTTTGATCTCCACTTTTTCCAAGCTTTTTTCAGTTTTGGTTTTTCGATTTTTGGCAGCTTCAGGTCGTATTTTTTATGCCTTTGCCTTGTACATGTATATTAGAAGCAATTAGGTTAAAAACTTGGGCTTGAATCCATGGGAATTGATGAATCAAGATTTGATATGATCTCCCATTAACAAACTTCCAAAAATGTCTCAAATCAAATATTTTGTGCATAATAAAGCTTGATACGAATTTGATTGGGTGTATCATGTTAATTGAAAGCTGTAATGATCAAGAAGATCGTATCCCATCAATTTTTGGATTTTATTTGAATTAATATTGATTTAAAATGAATTAATTCAATAAATATCAAATAAAATAGAAAAATTAATGAATGGACATGAAACTGGTGATAGGACACGCTTGTGGTGTGACAAGATCAAATCAAGTGGAAAAAAGTGGGCCCATTTGGCAAAATTTGAAGTTTTTGGGATAGTTGACCTTTGGCAATTTTGGAAAAATTCCCAACTTCAACAATGCATAACTTCTTCAATTTTGAACTTTTGGAAGTGTTCTTGGACTTTTTAGAAACCTTGAGATTTCCTCTAACCAACCCTTTTGGTCTCATATCATTTTGATATTCCATGCTCAAGTTATAAGCTTTGGAAAAAAAGGTGTTTTTGTTGACTTTCAAAAATGACCTATAATGTCCAAATTCATATCTTCTTGTGAGTGCATTTCTTGATCTTGGGGTGTGAATATGGATTATAGGAAATTTCATCCTCTTAAAAATGAGCTTTGGATGGGTCATTTCTCATGAAGTATGAGAAAGTTATGCTTGGTCAAAGTTGAGTTGACTTTTCCTATAAAACCCTAATTTAGCAACTTTTGAATCTTGATGAATTTTGAGCAATCCTTGATGAATCATGATCAACCCTTGATAAAATGATGAATTATCCTTCAAAATAATAATGTTGACAAAAAATCTTGAGGTTTGACTGTTTGTAGGTCACAGTTGACTTTTGCCCTAGCATAGTCGATTTTTGGACCTCTTGAGCAATTGACTGACCAAACTTTCTCTGCAAGGCTTGAAATTTGACATGGATGAACTTGAGAACATATTAGGACATTGGGGAGCACTTGAGGTAATTTGGGTGTAAGGACCCTGATGCAACACAAAACCCTAATTTTGAATTGACTGCCTTAGGAGGTGATTTGACTGTCCAACTCTTGAGCTAACTTGAGTCACTTGGAGATTATTCTTGACATGTCTTGAGAAATATGGGAGGGCAAATTTTTGGGTACAACACTATGTATGATTATATTCTCTGTATACTTATCCTTTTTGATGACACAATTTTGTACATATAACTAAAGTTAGTGAAATTAGAAAGGTAAGAAATACTTATCCTTTTTATGATACTCCCCCTGAGTCAATGACTTGATGAAGATTGAATATCCTGACTCTGAATCATTTGAGTAAAACTCCCCCTGATTTCAATAGATCAGATATCAAGATCTTGAGAGTCTTGACTTCTGGAATTTCAGACAGTCTTCAACTTCTAATTTGCTCAGTTCTTTTGGAAGAGACTTCTGCTTTTGATTCTTATGTTATGAATATCACATTCTCATACATTTTACATCTTCTGAATATTATTATACCAACATCAAGATAATTTTAAATTTTAGAAAGATCTCAACTTCAGAACAATATTGGGTCTAACTGGTTCTTGAACATATGTTCAAAGAGTGTACATCTCTGATTATATGAACAATCAGTTCTTAAGAACTTTAACAAAGTTCTTTCATTTTGAGTTGTCTTAGAATGCCTAGTGAAATTGTTCAGAGTTTCTTGGTTAATTAACAAACAGACAAGCACACGTCAGTGGTAAATGCACATTTTATATCATTCTATTATCATGACGAGTTTTTGCATTTCTTTAGGTTCATCAAAATCCTTATACTTCTCCCTTTTTTTGACATCATAAAAAAGATAAATATTCATGAAAAACATTAAAAGTTAACGGAAGTAACAATAAGTTCTAATCAGAAATAGTTGCATTGATGATAGAACTAAGCAAATTACAAGATAGAATCTTATGGGAACCACTGATCATCAAACGTCTCACACTCCTCTTGATGCAAAGCATCACTAGGACCATCAGGAATCCTTCGAAGGATTCTCACAATGCCATTTTGAACAAAAACTCCTGACAGGATTCTTTCATAGGGAATGAAGGTTTTGTTCAAATTTCTAGAGAAAGTGATGGACCTTTTGAGATGATTGAGGATGACTTGAGGAAGACTATTCGGAATTCGTTTGATCAGACCGAAAATTAGAGTCTTATCATCCTTGGTTAAGACATTTTTGTTAATTTCGCGCGAACAAAGATTTGTTAGAATAAAGCGAAACCAGTCTTTGGCAATGGGCTTAAGACTCTCAAGGTTAGTAGAGTCGAACTCAAAAGATGCTTCAAAGATGGAAATGATGTTACAATCAAGGATGCTATCGAGAGAGACACGACCAGTCGCAATACCCATGCGTGGACAATTTATTATCTCAGCAACGTATTTGACAGTGAAGAAAACATCTCAGCCATAGATGTTTGAAGAGATTGAGGTACCACCGAAATTGACAGAGACATTTTTTCAAAAAGTCTTCTTGAATTGAATCCCATGATGAGTAAGTATGTCATAATTCTAGTCAAGCAAAATTGTGACTCGAGTCAAGGTATCTCATGATTAGAGTCTTGTGAGAACTTGAATCGAATCAGACTTTAAGCGCCAAAATTCAAATTCTGAAACTTGCTTATGACTTGAGTCAAGGATTCTTGTGACTCGAGTCACATTTGCCGAACCGAAATCTTCGGAAAAGTGAAACTCCATGATCCGAATCGGGAAATATTTTGACTCGAATCATGTCTACAAAAGTTTCTTAATTCAAATTATTGAATCATTTTGTGTTGACTTTTGATTAAATGCATGATTTATGCATGCAAACGACCGTTTAATGAAAAATCAATTCTAAAAGATGTGTAACAATCTAACGGTGAGGGACTAAAATACTATAAAAGATAATTAAATGGACAAGCAGCAAAATCCTAAAAAATCAATGATATCTTAGGATTAATTTTAGTCTTAACCTTAAAAAGTCAAGGATACCTTGGATCAATTTCAATCTTTCCCTTTTTTTTATGCTAGACAACTTCTAATGTAATTGAGTTGATATGACTTTGAGCTAAGCATAATCAAGGTTTTCCCCGTGCTTCCCTAAGAGTCATATTGTAATCTCAAGTGTTTTCATTTTATTGTTACAAGTTCTTCAAAGGACTATATTGTAGCCAATATATTTCTAGAAGACAAGTAGACATGGTTAAGTCAGATTTTGTGTAAAGATTTCTAAGGGATTATCAGTTGGATAAGAAAATAATTTATTGATTGCAATCTGTTTGGTTAAAGTAAAATCCCTTAAAGTGTGAAAAGATTGGAAGTAGCCACCGAATTTTGGTGGTGAACCAACATAAACTCCTTGCATCTATTCTCTCATTTATCTCCTTACAAGTACATTTACTTTGAAGAAGTTTGTTTCTACTCAATTTAAAAAAGAGGAAAGGTTTCTAAACACAATTTAAACACTATATTTGGCTTAGGTACTAAGTTTGCAACACACTTAACCAAACCACATAAATTAAAGGCCATGTACTGCAACCTAACTTACTTTGTTCAATCCACTACCAGAAACAGTTCTCAAATGATTAATACATAAGCTTCAATGTAGCCATAGCCAATTTAAGATCAATGTCTAAACTCAGCAGTTAGTTAACAACATCTTTAGGTTCTCAATATCCTAAGCTATTACAACAAACAACAAACATTCTCTTCTGCTGCCTCAAACTAGCATCACAATTTTCAAGTCAACACTGCAGCACACCCTGCAGACAATAATACTAAGTTATCAAAGATGTCTAATCTCATCTATCAACTATTCCAGTTCGAAAACTCGCAGATTCTTTTTTTTTAAAGTGCACTAGAATACTCTATCGATTACCATGCTTCGCACGGGATGAAGATTGCTTACTTTGGTACAGTAACTTTCTACACCCTTGCTCCTGAGTGAATGCTTTGGATTGAAATCCTCTTCAACATGTCTTGTGAAGGAGGAAGGTCCGGGATTCATCTGGCAAGTGACTGCAGATGGTTGCGCCTCTTTATTTGCAATGGGAGCACCTTCGGTTAATGAAAAACCAAACACTCTGCAGCTACTTTTACATGTGGAAACCAACTCTTGACCGCCTATCTGTAGTGAAATCGAATCATGTGAATGTCTAGCAAATGAATTTGTGTCTTCAGAAGCATAATATGATCCTCTTTGGCAGACTTTATCTTCCATCGCAGGATTGATTTTGTTATTGTAATCCAAGTTGGAAACCGGATTGGCACCTTGCTGGTGATACATTAACGCGGATGGATGAAAATGCGAGTTGTTATTCGTTTGAGAATACCATCCATTTCTGGATCTCGGCACATCAAAGAGTCCAAAGCCACCATTTCTAGAAGCCTTATCGATGACAGACAAGGCTCTTCCATATGGTTGGCTAGGAAGTATTTCTTGACCTTGCAAGACCTTCTGGAATCGGAACGATTCGCCAAAGCCATTGCAGGAAACATTAGAATCCATTTGTGGGATTCTGATGCTATTTCCTGTTGATGCAATCCCGGGATAGTTTGAACCGGGATAGCACCTTCGTAATTCAGATAACTGGTGGTGACTCCGAGCACTAATACTATCGAAAATAGTATCAGCGCCTAACATTTCTTGACCTTGCAAGACCTTTTGGAACCGCATTGATTCCCCAAAGTCTGATGTTCCAATTCCATCTGTCGCAAAAATGGATCAGTCCATCAATGATGTTGCATGAGATAAAACAAATCAAAAGAAAAAGAAATCGAAATATACCTTGAACTGGAAATTCTAGCTTTGTTGAAGGTAATCCAATCTTGGTCCTCTTCAAACTAGCTGTCATTATGCTATTGGTGGTGGAAGCTGAGCCAGAGGGCTCTATCTCCCATGGCGAAATCCTGTTAAGCCTTGAAGCTTCCAAGTCATCCCACCTTACCTACAACGATGAGAAAAACCATTTGATTCCAATCAATCTAAGTTGCTCTAAAAATGACATCACATAACACGCCATAACTATAAATGATAGTGAAAAAGATCACAGCAAAATACCACTAAGCATTTCCATTTCGATCCAGGCCATCTAACAGGATCCACATCAGAAATTCCAATAATTAATCCTGTGCATCTGCATAAAAGAAATATGGTTAGGATTTTCTTTATCTAAATGCAGAAAGTGCATATAATCATGAACAAACCTTCGCTCTGCAGCATCTTCAGACTCAAAACGCATCCTGAACCTCATTCCAACTGAGTAAGAATAATCACGGCTCTTCAAGAATTTGTGGATAGGTATGATAAACTCAGACGAACCAACCCTACAATGAAACAGTAAAAGTACAGAAAAAAATTGATTAGATCTCAAGCATAACACTCTTCAAATTGTAGATAGAAACGAACAATTTCCCTTTCATGAATTACCAAAGAATAGCGAGAAAAATACCTTGGATTATAGTGAACACTGAAGGCGCATCTAGTAGATAAAGCCTTAACTACATCTGTAAGACTTCCAAGATTCAATTGCTGGCCAGAGAGGGATGAAATATTACTGCAGCTTTTCAATTGAGCTGCCCTACGGATACCCAATCTCAACTCTCCATCCTCGCCCCTGTCATTTGTCAATGTTGAGATATTGCCATATTTGTTTATATTCTATTCCCTAATCTTAGAAATTGCGTAGGTTAAGTCTCATGCATATACAATGTAACATTTCGATAGAATCTAGGCCATCTTACCTGAGGAACAGAACAGCATCTCCTGATACAAGTTTCTTCTTGTTAACAAATGCACTCCATCCAGTTGTAAGCAAATGCCTTCGTGGTTGCCCTGTGTTCATTAGAAACAAAATTCAAACACAAATACAAACAATCAATTGGCATTCTACCTGATATGTTCTTGTCCTTATAAACATGAGAAATTAATTAAAAACCTCTATAAATATGTCGAAACTTCCACTCCTGGCCGTGCAGATCCTTTGCCACAAGCTCTTGCGAAGGTCTTTGTTGAGAGTAATCCTAAAGAGGAAGTGGAAAGTTCAAAGCATCTATAAGTGCTGACTTAAACAAACTATGATTAAGCAGATAAGAGCAATCTAGAACACCGAATAGGAATGCATGGACACTCAAAGTAAGTACCAGGGGAGGAAAGCAATCTTCAGCTGCTCGACGAGGCACAGAGAATCCACCATGAGTGCTAGTATCAGAAGCAGTCAGAGTCTTGCAAAACATATGAGGTGTTGTCGTCTTCATAACAGCATCAGTATCCTCTCCACCTTCAGCATCAACTTCTCCTCCTCTCATCTTTTGCTGCATTTGCTACAAAAACCAACCAAGTTCATTCCAAATCACCTAACAAAGTAACTTCATTTAATACCAATGTAGCCCTCTAGTATTCTAAATGAACAAAGACAAGGAACAAGCCTATAGCTATTTTGTACTTAGTGGAATATGACACTTAGCTTAATCAAGCAATTTCATTATAATCATCTCAATTTGTCAAATTCTTCATAGACCCCTAAAAGCTTTCAAGATTCTGAGTTCAAATTTGTTTCCATTTTCAGAACTCTTTCCAAAACATAAATAAGACTCAACTCACCTCACTTTCAGGAACCAACATCACCTGACAATAAACCTCATCGTTCCTTTCCTCAGCCTGCACACAAGAAGAAGAAGAAGAAAAAAACACATACACACGTTCCATCAATTATCTGACCAAGCAAACAAAACCCACATGTAAAAACCAAATTTAAGAAAAAAAAGTAAAAATAAACAGAAAATAGAATATTAAGCTATGACCCGACCAGTAAGAGACAGCATTCGATTTGTACGCTGAAAAGAAGGGAACAAATGAACAACAACAACAGAGAAAAACTCACATGAAGCTTAACATCAAGAACACGACAGAAGACATGAGAAGGTATATGTATATTCTTAGAGAAAGAGAGCGAAAAATCATGAACATGTTCCAAATGTCCTTGAGGGAAGTAAACAACAAGAGTTCCTTTCTTCGGCAAAGAGATCATAGGACCAGCACAAGCATGCCAGAGCTCGAAACAAACAGATGATGAAGCAGAAGAAGGTGGTTGATGATCCTGAGTACTAGTGTTGAGATCAATGAAACCCATGTTGAGAAGAAGAAGATGAAGAGAGAAAAAGGAAAGTGTTTGTTGTTATAGAAGAAGATGAAAGAGAGTGATATATCATGTTATTTTGACAGAGAGCGTGAACAAGAGCTTTGGCATTGGTGAAAGAACCTGACCCAATAATAATACTCCAAAAAGAAAGAGACTATCTATCTTTCTTTCTCTTTCTCTTCTCCCACTACAAAACTCACTCACTCACTCACCTTTCACTCTCTGCCAATTTTTCCTTTTGTTTCTTTTTTGGGTTCTTTCCTTTTACTTTCTTTTTCTCTTTGAGTGAATGGGCTTTTGGGTAGGCATCAAATCCAGCTTTCATTAGGATATGTATAATAATAAAAATGAGTTTTTTATGTTTCTTTTCAAGTGGCTATTAATGCTAATTATTGTTGGTATTATTGTTTGTGTTTACTCTTTTGCTGTGTATGCTTAAGGTGCAGCAGTGTTGCAGAGACTGCAATGCTGAAGACTGTTTGGGTGTGATGTGTGGCAGACAAGGAAAGAGAGAGGAGAACAACAAAAACTGTACAGTAGTAAGAGTGAGTCACTTTTTGTTTGTCAAGCTTATTTTTTTGGTGTACGGTTTCCCTGTATTTCCGGGGGATGTCTATTCTGTCCCTTTCTATTTTGCCAAATCTCACAACTATCCTTCTTCTTAATCAAACTTGATTAAGGTTCATCAACATTTTAAGCAGGTAGATTATGTTCCCTACTTAACATGGTTACCAACAACAAAAAGATGGATGTAAGCTTCTTCTGAGTTCTCACTAAGGCTATAAATGGAGGATTTAGGTTCTCATCCATTAGCATCTTGTTGTGAAGTAGTCACCAAACCATGAGAGATTTTGAGTGACGAATTTAATTACGCCAAATGGTTTAGTCAATTTAATATTATATTGATCTCTATATAAATAAAAAACGAAGGCATCTTTGAAGAATGTGGATTCTACAATAGAGATGTTCTATATAATTTGGTCTTATGTGTTTTCTAAAAGGATATGGATCTGATGAAGCTGGTGAAAGAGATTAAGATAAGCAACCTTCAAATATTGAGGCAGGGTCCAATATTTGTCTGTCAGAAAGTCATTGGCTTTAACTTTGAGAAGATGGTGAAGGATTGGAAGGAGAGGAATCTGCGCAAGATGTAACAAAAATAGGAGAAGCAACACTAGAGATGATGCAATGGACGAGGAAAGAGAAAAGGTCGAGGAGCAGGGAACTCCGGGAACAAATGGATATCAGAAAGCACCCACGACTGTCATAGAGAAGAAGGGCAATGTGGACTTTGGTCCAAGTTTAACGCCTACACACCCCAAAACATTTCAAGGAAGAAAATTTTGAAAGAATGTGCAAACACTAAGTTCAAAGAATCTTGGATCAAGAATCCTTACCCGATTAAGGAATTTTCCAAGAAAACAAGTTCAAATAGTGATATTTCTATACGAGTCACAACCACAACCCAAAGAATTGCAACCATCTAAAGGACATGACTAAAGAATTAATTAAGAAAGGTAACTTGCTGAGTTGACCCGGGATGGAAGCCGGGATAATAAGAGAGGACGGAGGAGTTGTGAATATTCATAAAGGAACAAACACCCCCTGCGGGGAAAATCCTCCAAGGAGGTTATTAATGTTATTGCTGGAGTTAAAGGGAGGAAAGACAATAATAGTGAAGAAGAGGTAGACCAGAAAAGGAAGCATCAAAATATTGTGCCCATCGCTGACGATCTTCCAAGAGTAAGGAACCATCTCCAAAGGAACAGTGAAGAGAAAAAGCGCAAAGTTAATGGTCGTGAACATAAAAGAATACGACACTGCGACTAGGAAACTAGAAAGACTTAGGCAAGATAGGAGGGATTCCAGACGAGATATTTCCTCTGGTGATAACGACTACTGTCGTCAATTTTTATGTTTCCCAAGTCCTCATGGGCAGTGGAAGCTCATGCATTATCATGTATTCAAACCATTTGAGTAGATGAGGCTAAAGAAGGAGAAGTTGTGGCCTTATGAAGGATTTAACTTACATGTCTTCAATGGCACGATAACCCATCCTTGGGGGTAATGTTGAGATGGTGGTTGTTCTATGGGAAGGTAGATATGTTAGGATGGTCGACTCACAATTTTTTGTGGTTCCTTGTAAAAGTGCCAATAACTGTATAATGGGAAGACCCTTTGCAGCTATCTTAGACGCAATAGCCTCCCCCAATCCACCTAAAGATGAAATATCATAACGTCCATAATAAGCCGCGAATAATACATGTTGATTTATCTGGGGCGAAGAGGATATACAAGACTTTGCAGTGGGATCAAAAAAAGGATAAAAGGAAAAGTTATGGAGATCAATGTAGCCTCCTTCGTAAGATTATTAAAAGACATGGAAATCCAACCCCCAAGCAGGTAAAGCAAATTATGTTGGCTAGACATTTGCAGGTGAAGGATCCAGATAAAGGTCTAAACGAGTTGTGAGGTCTCGTTGTAAGTACGAAGTGTGCCTAAGAGGGGGGGGGGGGGGGGGGGGGGGGTGAATTAGGTACTTTAAAAATTTTCTGATTTTAGTGATGATGGATATTATTTTTCTGGTTTATGGTGAGTTTATGAAAGAGTAAAATGCAGAAAAATAAAGAGACACAAGCGATATATCCTGGTTCCCCTCACAGTCCGAGAGTACTCCAGTCCCCTTTCAACATGAAAGAGATTTCCTTATAGTTGACAAACTTAAACAAGAACTACCAAAACCAAGAACAATCCTCTTGGACCAAGAACAATCCTCTTGGATTTTCACTATGTCAACAATGAGAACAATCCTCTCAAGGTGACCTTACTTGTATCCAACAATCCTGGAAAAACAAGATTACAAAACCACTTGAACTTATTTTCAACAATCCTGAAAAATAAGAAAGTGTATAGCAATATTTGATTGATAGAGTTTGTAGTGCAATAATCACTTTGAGTGATTTTATCAATAATGTGATCTTCTATTTCAATAACAATAATATACAATGACTCAAGGCTATAAAATTCTCAAAGTTTTCTGTTTAACAATATATGAAAATATGGAGAAAAACTTTGTGTATGAAAGTGAAGAGAAAGCTTGAGTTTTGATATTTTAAAATTCAAAAACTATTGATTGGAAGAGGTACAAAATGATTTTGAAAATTCAGTATTTATATGTTCATAGCACCTCTTTGAAACAGCATAAATTTCTGCAAATGAATCATGAACAATTGCCAAGTTTCAATGAAAAGTTTCCATGAAGTGGTGTTTTGAAAAGGTATGTTCAAAGTTGTTGATTTTCAAAAACGTTCAACATGCAATCGATTGCACGGGTTTTAACAGCTAAAAAATTCAAATATTTTTAGTGAGCAATCGATTGCACATGAGTGTAAATCGATTGCACTTTAAAACAGTAGCAAAATTTGATAGAGAGAAATTGATTGCACAAATATGCAAATCAATTGCACTTAGAAACAATAGCTAACATTTTGAAAACGTGAAGCATGCAATCGATTTCACCAACATGCAAATCGATTGCACTCAAGTGAAAATTGAATTTTTACTTAGAAAACTTGAGAAAAATTTTGGACAAGATAAAACACTTCTTTTGATCATTGAGCATCTAATACTTAAGTTCATAGCAAGAATTGTTATTATACCTTATGAAATTTGCCAAGAGCTTGAACCAAAGACTTTTATCCATTGATACTTTTAGCTTGATCAACATATTTTCCTTCTTGCCAATATAGTTTGTCTTCATCAAAACAAAATGCATTGAGAATCATTTGAGAAGCTTGATATTACACTCGTGTTGTTTCCCCTAACAACCAATAAGCAACAACCACACCGCCTCGTTAAATTTTACTTTTTTTAATATGTAACCACAATTACTTGGAATATATGATGTCCATTTCATCTAATAAATACGTTTTTACTGAAATTTTCTTTCCTTGTAATCATAAAGGTAACAATGAATCGGGGGGTGTTGTCACAAAGGCCACCAGAGTAATGACCAAAAGCAGTCAGAGCCCTATCGCAAATAAATCAGAGGTGCTATCACGAATGCCACTGATGTATGACTAAAGTAATTAAAGCCCCACATTGCCAATGCACAGATAAATACAACATGCCACAAAGTGGAAATTATGGGCTCACCCCATAATTGGTAGCTAGCCACTTCAGAGGTAGTGGTGATTCCACATTTCGTCGACTTAAAACCAGGTTTCACCTAGGGGTAATGAAGGTGTATCCAACTTTGGTTGGGCACGACGCCTAGAGACGTTTAACAAACTTCAAGCACGATCACGAAAAACAAGTTAGTTCTTAGAGAAACAAACCCAAAACTTAAAAGCAACATTATATAAATAGGTAAACATAATGGTAAGTAACAAAAATGAAAATACTCACCGCAAAATAGAGACCATGAAAATTGCTTATTTATTAAAAGTGCAACCACACAAGTCTGAAGCATGTTGGGTACACAAATTTGCATGTATGTGTGCACACATACATGTGGGTATATATATATATATATATATATATATATATATATATATATATATATATATATATATATATATATATATATATATATATATATATATATATATATATATATATATATATATATATATATATATATATATATATATATATATATATATATATATATATATATATATATATAAAGATATGGTTTGGACTTTTAAGATAATTGATTAAGAACGTTATAACATTAAATCTGGCGGCTGAAAGTGTTAGGGAATTAACTGACTATTAAGGCAATCAAGATCCATAAAAGGGGATGGATTATCTCAATGAGGGGGTAGATGAATAACATAAAAGGGATAGAGACACACACGTAAAAGGGCTCTCATCCCTCCCCAAAACATTGATTCTTAATATTTCCCTAAACATTTGCAGTTCTTCTCGACCCATATCTAGAGAACTAACTACTTGGTATTTTTGCAAGAACATTAGGCTATGTTAAT